TCTGCCTGCTGCTGTTTCAATTATTTACACTGGGCTTGAAGGGTGGGGTGGGGGCCACGCTGCACAACTGATTTTCCACTAATTAGTCCTGGTCCTATGACCACAGCTATACAACAGTGATTGGATCTATAGCACAGCACACAGTTCAGGTTATTTATGGACGCAAATGCAGGAGCACCTGAAAACATGTAGATGAGCTGGTTTCAGAATCCGTGCAGTTCAGAGAGACACTGCTTCAACTACCTGCCTGTGTTGTGTGAAAGAGCTACACTGAGGTAAAGCCGTACGGTGATGTGCGTCTTCACTCATCAACTCCAGAATCAAGCAGGAGCTGGTTTACATCTCTCTGCTTGTGTTTGAGACATTTATAAACTTTGAGTTTGTGTGTGAAAATATGAATTCTTGTCCCACAGCCATGACTTTAGTCCCCTGAGAACTAAACCACCTTAAAAGTTCATATTTGTCCTCACAGAACACACACGAGAACATGCAAACTAAAATGTTAAAACAACAAAGTCACCAAGTTCTACAAAGTGACACGAGTCAACACAGTCTGGTAGCTGTAACCAGGGAAACGTCCTGCTAACATGTCAGAGTGGGCTTTCACACAGCAGCTGAACCAACTCCTCTCTTATCAGTAACACAGTACTGTATAAATGTCCTTGTGTAGTTTCTGACCCTGACATGGATGCAGGATAAGGTTACACTAACAGAAGTATAACCTCATCTTCTTTGATGCATGTTCATTCTCCCCCTCAGCTTCACTGTTTCTGCTCAGACTGTTAAATGAATCAGAATCATCCCTGTAGTCAGACGGAGACGACTCGGAATAAATTCAGTTTGTGCCAGCTGATTTTTATGCTTTACTAAAAATGTATGAATCTATATGTCATGTATGACATGCAAAAACAGTAGCACTGTCCTTTAAAAAGAATGGACAGGCTGAACCATGTCTTATACTCAGTACAATGTTCCTGTTTCCTGACAGCCTACTCTCACCACTTCCATTCAGTCCTCCTCCTCCTCATCCCCTCCAAATGACAGGAGGCTGTTATTTTTAACTTTCTTTCCAGATGCCTCCTTTTTCTCCTCCTCCTCCTCCTCCTTTTCCTTGTCCCCTCCACTGCTCTTCTTCTTTTTGCTGGAGCTAGCACCGATGCCCTGGAATTTATCTGAGGAAGAGCGCTTGGCTGGTTTCTTGAAAAGGATTTTACCGTCAGGAGGCTGACCATCTGCGGGGCAGACGGAGGTATGTATGTGCAGGGTTGCAAACACAGGGTTTTATGTTAACATGCTGTATACAGTGCATGCATATGTAAATATTTTCTTACTCCTGGTGTAATTAAATCATTGAACTGGACTCTCACCTTTCTCTGAGCTGCCTCCAGCCTGTATTTCATCCTTCATCTTCTTCACCTCCTCTGCAGTCAGGTCTCCACTTTTAAGGACCACGACCTGAGGCAACTCGTCCTCTCGATCGCTGCCGCTGTCGTCATCCAGTGTTGGCATCACCTGACGCTAGGATAGCAAACAGACCGTTAGCCTGTGTGAGAAGTGTTTTAAAATCCTGCATT